CGTCCCTGAGCGACCATCCTAACGGAAGGTTCATTGTATGAAATCAAAACCAAGGCAAACTCCAGAAATTGATAGGAGTCTCTTAAGTTTTGCTCCAATATTTTCCTTCCCTACGGCAGAATTATTGGGGTGGACCTCTGAGGTCCGAAATGATGGGTCACACTTACGGGGAGTTGTTATGTTAGTTAGAAATTTCCTGACCAAATAAACGATGACTAGAGTTTATAGGAATAAGAGTTATTCTGGTGAAAAATTTAGTTGAGCGCGTCTCAATTCAGTGAATGAGTACCTGTCTTCCCGACAGTGGTTGTTGCTTTAAATCACTGAAGCGTCCTTGCAAAACAATTTTGTTAGGGTGCTTAATTAATTTTGCTAAAATTTGGTTGGGTTTAAAGACTAATGTATGAAACTGATATAGGTTGTTTTTACTTTTAGCATGTCTGCTTCCATTATTGCACTCCTAGCCGCTCAAAAACTTAACGGCGAGAATTACAAACAATAGAAATTGAATCTAAACACTATTCTCATGATAGATGATCTTAGGTTCGTCTTGCAAGAGGATTGTCGTCAAGCTCCTGCGCCTAACGCCACTATGGTGGTGCGCAACGCCTATGACAGGTGGATCAAGGCCAATGACAAGGCCAAGGTCTACATCCCTGCGACCATATCTGATGTGCTTGCCAAGAAGCACGAGGACACGGTTACAGCTAAGGAGATCATGGACTCGCTGCAGAGCATGTTTGGACAACCGTCCTCACAGGCTCGACATGAAGCTCTTAAGTTCGTTTACAACTCCCGCATGAAAAAGGGCTCCTCAGTGCGAGAACACATTCTCAACCTGATGGTCCACTTCAACGTGGCTGAGTCGAACGCGGCTGTCATAGACGAGTAGAGTCACGTCAGCATTATTCTGGAGTCTCCTCCGAAGAGTTTCCCGCCATTCCGCAGTAATGCGGTTATGAATAAGCTTGAGTACACTCTTACCACGCTCTAAAACAAGCTGCAGACCTACCAGTCTCTTATGAACAGTAAGGGACAAGAAGGGGAGGCAAACGTTGCCACCTCAAAAAGGTTCAACCGAGGTTCGTCCTCTGGAACCAAGTCTGCGCCCTCTTCTTCTGGAAGTAAGACTTTTAAGAAGAAGAAGGCTGCTGGTAAGGGGTCTAAACCTGACTCCACTGCTGCCGCTGCCAAGAAAGGCAATGCCAAGGTTGTAGAGAAAGGAAAGTATTTCCACTGCAATATGAACGGGCATTGGAAGCCCAACTGCCCAAAATATTTGGCTTAAAATAAGAAAGCCAACGAAGGTAAATATGATTTACTTGTTTTGGAAACATGTTTAGTGGAGAACGATGATTCCGCCTGGATACTGGATTCAGGAGCCACTAATCACGTTTGTTCTTCATTTCTGGGATTTAGTTCCTGGAGGCAGCTTGACGCTGGAGAGATGATTCTCAAGGTCGAAACGGGAGAGGTTGTCTCAACTGTTGCGGTAGGGAAGCTCAAGTTGTTTACAAACAAGAATATGTATATATTATTAGATAATGTGTACGTAGTTCCTAAAATTAAAAGGAACTTAATTTCAGTTTCTTGTTTGTTAGAACATTTGTATTTCATTTTATTTAATTTGAATGAAGCGTTCATTTCAAGAAATGGTGATAATATTTGTTATGCTTTGCTTCAGAACAACTTGTATGTGCTAAGACGACCATAACTAAGGCAATTTTAAATACCGGTTGTTTAAGAATACTAGAACTCAAAGTAAAAGGCAAAAGGATTCTAACAAAGAAAATACCTTTCTTTGGCACTTAAGATTAGGTCACATTAATCTCAATAGGATTGGGAGGTTGGTCAAGAATGACATTCTAAGTGAGTTAGAAGATGATTCTTTACCACCATGTGAGTCTTGTCTTGAAGGCAAGATGACTAAAAGACCTTTTACTAGAAAATGTTATAGAGCCAAAGAGCCCTTAGAACTTATACATTCAGACCTTTGT